AGCGGCAAACCTTATAAATAGGAATAAAAATAACAAAAAAGGAGAATAGGGATCAGCTCTTTGATGGAATAAAGCTTATCCTCCCGCTTCGAAATTAGCCTATTTTTCTGACTAAACTTGGCGAAGAAGATCGAGTGGTAAGTACTTTATAGTAATGCCTCTCTTATAGTTAGTTGAAACTTGTCTTCCACTTAGAAATTTCTAGTTCACTTTATGTAATAAAAGCGTTGGAATGTATCCCATTAATAGAAGCGACCAAACCAAAGGCCACAACATCTTGGTCTTCATATCTTCAATATATCCTATTTAGCTTACATCAATTTCGTTTGGTAAAGAGATTCTCAGGTCTATCTAACCAGAAGACGACGGAGAATTCCTCTTGACCAGCTGTCGATTGGCTTTAATAAAGAGTTCTTGTTGACGCTGTCTCCTAGGCAATCTTTTTAGATTCCGGTGAAAACGTGCCAAGCTTTCTTGTATCGTATAACGGACACCATCCTTACAACCATTTCTTGATTCATTAGCTTCAATATGATTGCAATGAGGATACTCTGCTCTGATGACGTCCGTCATACAACCAATGAAAGCTTGGCACGTTTTCACCGGAATCGAAAAAGATTGCCTCGGAAACAGCGTCAACAAGACGGTACATTGAATCACTCCTCATCGAAGCTTGATTTTTTAATGGTAGAAACTCGGTACTGTATCTAATCCACATATATTCACAATAAAATCACATTAATACCACAATCACCCCGGAACGTCATAGAAAATATGAGCATCCGAAATGATAAAATTATATGAGTTGTATTCAGCCTATTTCGTTTAGGCTGATGAAGGACTGCTAGTGGATTTTTCCTGCAATTATATTTCGGGAGCTGACGTTTCTATTTAATTTCACATAGCCTTGCTATCCCAAAAGGTGCCCTCATCCAGGATGGACTGCAGTTTCGACCTCGCATAAGTCTTATCAACACCCCAAGCGGAAGTCAAATCATGACAATGCAACGTGTAAGCACAACACGTTAACCAATCGGCCACATTGCCACAATGCGGCAATTACCAGTCCTTCTTCACCTTAACTGAAATAGGGTGAATACAACTAATATATTTGACTTACTAGTATTTTCTTAAACCTACTCACTTATGATAAAATAATATTCTTCTGAATTGTTCTGAGATAGTTTGATCTAAAAACTCACAATTTGAGACCGACCTGGAGCTTCCTTCTTGTAAGTATGTTTAGCAAAATCTTTGGAACTTGCTGCTAAACGATGCTGTCCCAATTAACAGGTAGTTTTGCACACAACTTAATCTAAATCGTTTTATACTCTCCTCCATCTCATTTACTACTCAAAACTACCGTGTCCAAATGTTTCATCCTCCATAGGCAGAATAGGGGTCTCCTTAAATTCAAGATAATTGAAACCATATATCATGGGAAACATTAGGGGCATAAACAGCTGGTTTCTCGCAACTCTGGAAATCTTGTAGACTCCTATTTTGAAGTTCCATCTATTTCAGCAGCACATTTTCTAGCTTGAGGTATCTCGCAAAATAAAAAGCAAATTATCTAATTTGCTGAACAGGTAGTCAGAAGAATATCCTGAATATTATGGCGTAAACAAGACTTGGGCCTTCCAAACAAGATCAGTATGCAAAATATTAAAGAATCAAGTGGATCCTAAAAATATGCCAAGCAAATAAAGAGAGGCCTCGTTTTAGATAATCCAAATGCCTGTTTGTAGTCGGAGGACTCGACTTTGTCAAGTACCAGCAGAGTGCAGCATTGGCATTATTCAAGGACGGATGGGATGGTCTAGTCTAGATCACCATACATGATGGGTATTCTTGGGACAGAGGTTATCGCCTAAAAATCATTTTCTTGAGCTGAAATAGTGTAATTTAACGTATTGCTTCTCAAATATCCCTCCGTTTACCCGTTTAAAAGGAAAATATCCCGATTTTTATAGTATTATCATTAATTAAAACAATTATTACTTGACAGCAGCTCTGTTCGTGATCAGAAAAATATTTAGCTGGTCCGGCCAGCAATAAACAAGATCATCTTATATTTCTTTTTAAATATTGAGTGGGTTATCTTACCCTTTTCAGTGTAATGCATCCATGCCTAAGGTACTTCCAGTTATATTTAGTAGATTAATTTATGGTTGACTTAAATGTACAACATTCTTATTTCCCTCAATGTATATATATATATATAATATGATATAATATTAGCAATACAAAGAGCTGAGGAGCATTTGGAAGAGTGTCCACAGATTATGGAAAACTAGATAAATGCTCTCGGTATACACCCATCTGAAAACATTTTCATCAAGTATCCTATACAATAGCATTCTATTGGGATTGAATGTCGAGGCAATTTAGCTTCGAATTCTACCATTTGAAACTTACATCATTGGAATCGCTTTTTAGTCATTCGTACCCTCTCAGGAGACGGCTAATTAAGCTCACTTTATTTATTTAACAAAGTCTATCACGAATCCCGTCTCAGATTAGGCTGTTCCTTCGTGGGCTGATTCACATCTATAAATCATCATTTTCCCTCACATCAGGTTCGTATGGAAGTGGACAACAAGAATCAATAGGATCACGGCGAAATTAAATGCTGTCCAATGTACCGCTTCTTCTGTTGATATAGTACATGCCTGAAAACACGCGGCTCTAATCAGAGCTAACCGGTTGTGAGGACTGAGGAACATTTCCCACGATAGCAAACTCAGCCAGTGGCTTCTGCTGAACGTATGGAAACTCTCGTCACTAAGATGACTGACAAACTTTGGTCACCTAATTTGTTCGGTCCAGTTTGTCTGTAAAGTGAATTGCTAACTTGACCTCTGATGTTCTGTAGTTGAATTGGGTGGGCAAAAAAGCCATCACTGATACCTCCATTTAGACAGGATCCTTGAAGCCCTGCTAACTAGTTTCATGCCTTTATTATGTGGTCATGTTGTGGGTGCTATTAAAAGTGGCGTGAAGGAATCTGAGTGGGCGGGGTAGGGAAGTTGAAGTGGCTGTTCGTGCTACGATTAGAGTGAAGCATTTGACGACCAGGGGCACGAGCTTTATCTCGTACTCGGGTCTGCAGGATAATTCAATTAGCAGTTGACCGATGAAAGTCAAGATGATCAGATTACACATTAGCTTGCGCCCTTGTTTGCTCGTGGCCGTGTGCACGTATGTGCTCCTAGAGCTGCGCTGTCCGGGCGGTCATTATTTAGCGTGATGTGCCAACATGAGAGTCAGACTGGCCAAGTGGGTCTAAAGTGTGTATGCACGGGTACATATGTTTATGTATGTGTGTGTTTGTATGTCAAGAAGGGGGAGGTTGTACACGCGTTTTCGCCTGAGAGCAGACACGGCTGTTTGTCATCTTGTCTCTTGCCCCCATTTCTATGGCACCCTGTCTCCGGCCCGGTGACTCTATTTCCCCTCCTCCCCGTCGTCCCGTCCACTCGGCCGGAGCTACCCCAACCTTACCCGTGGTTTCGCGACAGGTCTTTTCGGCCCTGTTTTGGTCACAGACACCAATACATACAAGAAAACACACCTGCCGTCGTCTGAGGAGCTGCCTCATTATGCAGTGGGCTTATCGAGAGTGGGCAAACAGGCGTCTTCGCGCCAGTCATGTCCACGCGTCAACTCGTTTTGGTACCAAATGGTCACTCATTCCTCCAGTCCCTCAGCCACTTGGCCCCTCGGTCCCTCGGCCCCTCAGACCCTCACTGCCTAAGACCCCCAGATCCTCAGACTCTCAGCCCCTCAGCTTTCATGCCCTGCGAACGAGTGTGTTTTACTCCCATCGAATGCTGTCTCCACGATCCAACAGTCTGCTTATGTTTTGACGAGCGCAAAGGGACGAAACAGCCTCGTGCATTCACGCCTGGCAGACAGTGGTGATTTTGGGATGCATCTAAAAAACAAAGTTTATGCTGTGCCCTTTTCAGTGAGCCTGCAGCCAATTTGCTATTTTGCCGTACTGACACGAGAGGCACTGTACCCGATGAACGGAATCTTGGCCCCGACTTAGGTACCCCCTCTTCACGGTCCGCCTCACTCCACTCCCCTGACCCGCAGATCATTGCTCTCCTTAGACCATCCCCATTCCAGTCCAGACCATCCAGTTCGCGGACACAGCCATCGTACCTCTACTAATCTGAGCAGACAGATCTTGCCCCTCAACGAGCGTTTGTTCTGAGGGGGCCAGAGAGTGGAGGGTAGAGCGTGCTCAAGATAGTGTTTTCGAGTGCTGTTTTCCAGTCGGCGAAGCCAAAATCACTATAGCGATTGCTTACTAAAAGAAACCTGCTCGGTTGTGAGGCCAGGAGGAGAGTATGAGAGTCCTAGAATACACGCATTATGGCTCTCTGTGAAATTTGAGACTATATATATTTACGTGTCTTTTTTGTGAAAGTCCAGACATTGGTTGTCATCTGCCTACTTCTAGCAATTGACATGGTATAGGGTCAAAACGAACCAACAAACCGATAAAAACCATCTTATATCGGGATAATTCATAAGACTCGTTGTTAAACTGGAGCCTGTCAGCATATGTAGGCCGGACACTCGTGTCTGGATTAGTCTGTTCTGAACTCCGGGCCAAAGGGGATTGCAATAAAGCTTGGCAAGTGCAAGTCGATACCACAACGGTAACAAATAATAACCGAAGATCAGCCATCCGACATATTGGCTGGTATCTTTCTCGACTCGGTTCATCTCACTCTCAGCTATTATCTCTGTCTCACAATCCGAATTTCGGCTTTATTGCTCATTATTTCCGAGGTTGGTACAAACCAAAGCATCTCGGGTGCCCACAGGTGGCTTAGAATACTGTCCTGGTCAATCGGTCAGGAAAAACTAGGTCATGGGGCGCATGCTTTGATCACATGACCATTTGTCCATGCGTTGCAAAATTGGCATTCGACCAAGTCTATCAAGTTCGTGGCAGATTCGGCGGACAGGGACAGGATCTTAAGTATGAGCACAATGCGGCAGCACCAAAGGTTTGCATACGTAACTTCGTTATCAGAGATTGAAGCACTTGTCCACTCAGTTAATTAGATACCCTCCGTTGGTGCACTTGTGCATCATCTTATCTTAATGTCTATCTGTCGGTCGCCAGACGCAATGTCGTCTGATTAAACTCTCTTGCCTAGCTGCCGCGGATGGTCTGTCAGTCCAGACGTGCTCCTTTACAGATTTGATCAGGGTCAAACAGCTAGAACGTCTGCTTCTGAACCGTCAACTAGGACATAGATCTTGCAGATGCATACCGATGGCCGTGCTGCTCCACGAAGATGAAGATAGCGAGTGCGTATGGAGAAATGGGGATAAGTTGAGACGGACTGTGAGGGAGGGGAGAAGAGTCATAAGCTTTCGCGGGTAGATAAACTCAAACACTAGATGTCCGAGACGAATGACCTGTTGAGATGCGACTTGAGAGATAGGAAGACGAGATGGTAGGTAAGGCACAAGTCAGAGTTCAGCCATGATGGAACGGTGTTAAAATAGAATTTTTTCTGTCTAGCATGTAAATAACTTTGACTTGCCTTGATCCTATGCGGCAGAGTGGAAAGGGAGGATGAAGCAAATATTAATTTGTGAAAGCCTAAGGAAAAGTGTTATTGTTTCATTGTATTAAGAAATGTTTCTTCCCTTATACAGACGCAAGTCTGCCCTTTAGTCCTCTAATACTCAAAATAGACACAAGTGCCTCGCCCATGAGGGAGCTTGATTTATCTGGTTGTGTTGCGCATCATCAATAGTGCATAGCCATATTGGGAGGATAAATGAGGTGAGTAGCTGGAGAGAAGAAATGACGCTTTAACTTTTTATGATGAATTCTAGAATTAGGCTCAATAACTGGCTTGATAAATGTGAAAAAGTGCATTACAGGGTGTCATAAGAGAAATCATAATAGAGTAGTCAGCACATAAACAACTGGAGTAATGTCAATATATAAGTTATATAAGCTCAGAAAATAATATCTAAAACTCTGTAGTGTTCATAGTTTATGTATGGGTGAATTTCTAGGAGATTAATTTGGCAACCTAGTGAAGGCTAACTTTTATCAGATTATTTATCAAAACAATATATCATTGTGATATATCGACTCATATTATTGCAAAATCACGA